AAAAAAAGGGGAAACATTCCTCGAAAAAATATACTAACAAACTAAGCTAAAAATAACTCACTAATTAGCAACATTTCGGTTAATCAAAAAAAAAACCTAATACTAACAAGTTGAACTATACTAACAAAACCCTATTAACTTACTAATGCTAACTAATAAACTAATAATAACTGAAAAAATTAATTGTCAGTAAATTCCACTTAACACCACTCCGAGTCCTCATACATCCCCGTCAAACCCGAAGCGACCCGAACTCCACTCACTAGTTATAGTACTAGCATTTAGGAAAGAGATTACAATTAAATTAGATACAAGTCATAATATCTGAAATGTTACATAAATTTTACATATTTAAATCTTCAGCTTCAGGATAAGATTCGAAAAACCGTAGGATAGCATTTAGATGACATGTAAATTTCCTAATTAAGTATTGTTCTTGAAATAAAATCCGATAAATAGCTTTAGTTTATGGAATATTAATTTTGAAATGTAAATTTTTCACTAACTATGTATACTAGTTATAAGGATATTTGTACTTTGACTCCTAGATTCTGCCTCTGTGTGCCCGCACAAGCATACGTCCTATTCGATCTGCACTCGCCTGTGGTAACTGTACGAGACGGGTATGGCTGGATAGTCAACGGATACTTCAAGATAATTCATGTGATCAACCTAGCCCGCTATGAAGAAATCGCAAGTCGTCTGGAAGCCGAAGTCACCAGGCTGAATGAAACCAATGATATCACGGATGTCCTTGCCTATCACTTAGAGAAGGTTCAAATCCAACTTAATGAGCTAAAAGGTCCAAAATACAAAAGAAATAAGCGTGCAATCAATTGGATAGGATCGGCTTGGAAATGGATTGCCGGTTCTCCCGACGCGTCCGATTGGGATGAGGTACTTCGATCCCAGGATTCGCTAGTACTAAACAACAACCAACAGTACAGGGTAAATAATGAAATATTTAAGAAAACTCATGAGCTATTGCAGGTGGTCAACGGCATGGTAACCGTCACAAACGGCATCCTGGGGCATAACCACGTTATGAAACTATCAGAAGAAATCCTGCACAAAGTAATGATCTTGAAGGATGATGTCAATGAGTTTGTTCAAGCCTGTCAAATGGCCAAGGCTGGAGTGATTAACAGCAACCTGCTAAACAAAGAGGAAATCAACGAATTGATCAGCGAAATCGAAGTCCTTCCATACGCTAACGTCACCGAAGCCGTCGAATACGGCGAACCATCAATCTACACGAATGGTACCTTGCTACTTTACGTTTTGTCCATGCCAAAAGTGGATCAAACGAGATTCAACAATCTTATCACTCGAGCTATTACAAAAAATGGTCATCGGCTGGATTTAAGGTACAACCAAGTTCTAATCAACAAGAAGCAAACATATGGCGTCAAGGATAAGTGCATTCATCTGACAAGCGCAATGGTATGCAAGCAGGATGCATTGGACCTACTACGCGAAGAAGATTGCCTGCCGCGACTGCTCAAAGGTGGCGAGACCAGTTGCCGCTACGTAAGCTGCAACGACTCAACGATTGAGGTCATCAAAGAGGACACGATCTTATTGGACAACGTCAATGACACGGTATGGTCAGGTGAAACCCCCAACTATTTGAACGGCTCCTACATTCTTCAACTGGAAAACGAAACTATTCGAATTGATGATAAAACTTACTGGAGCATGAGCAGCTCAGGCGTTCAAATACTCCCACCTGTGCTATCTACTATAAAGAATAAAAGCCTCGCCGTCAATCTGAATCTTGTCCACGAGATGACTATTGGAAATGTTAAACTTCTGAGATACCTAAAGGACAGGACCAATTGGTTTACAGCTTCGGAAACTCTGGGCTTGTTTTTGCTATTAATTCTCATTTGGATAGTTTGGAGGAAGCTAACAAAAGGGACAGCACTTCCTAAAGTAAGATTGTCCATACTACAGACGGATCCTCAGGCACGAAGAAAGGAAGACACCTGTCCACGCTCGGATCTGCGGGACGCAGATCTTTAGAGGGGGAAGAGTTAACACTCCCCAGAGTTAACTCGCTGCGGCGCTCCCACTGTTGCCCACTACACGTGCCGCTAAGTCAGCACAATTACATTCTCACGGCGCGCGGCAACCTAACACCCAAAGTCAAGGCCATGACTAGTACCAGCGATTAATACGTATGCTACTGCATTACTCCAGACGCATCGTCAGCATAATACTATTTCGCATACTTGTGAAATAGCATCAACCCATATTGCAAGTGTGGGAACTAACGGACGAACTTATTCACAGACAACAATTATGCAACAGGTACGCTGCTGCTGGACATTGGCTATAAAGGGAAGCAGCGGACACAAAGCGGGCAGTCGAGTTCGGGACGGTAACGCTACGGTTTAGATTAAGAATTCTAATTGTAATTGTGTAAATAGAATAAACTGTGTTGGATTCCAAAATTTGTGTTGTAAATTTGTAACTCGTAGTTAGAACTGTTGGGCGCGTTGGCCCAACTAAATTATTTTTTTGACTTATACGGACTTAACGTCCGTAACTGGCGCCCGAGCAGGGACTCGGAGCGTCGTGTGCAAGAAAAAGTGGAAAAAAAGCAAAAAAAGGATCCTTTAGTCCAAGTGTTAAAGAGCCTTGAGCCAAAAAGTGAAAACCCTAAATATAAAAAAAATTTTTTTGTTTTAAATAAGCAACAAAAAGCTTAAAGAAAAGAGGCCTTGAGCCAAAAAGTGTAGAAAGGAAAAAAAAGGCAAAAAGGCCTAAGTGGAAAAAAAGGGCAGAAAAGCCTAAGAGGGAAATTCAAAGATCTAAGTGAACTACTAAATAATGAACCTTGTGTTCTTGTAAGTATAATCTAGACACGCAACATTTTTTGATTATTTACAGATGGAGGAACTCAGAACCAATGTGACCAACCTAACCGGGGCCGTCAATGCCCTGCTAGAGAAGATGAAGACGCTGGAAAGGCGCGTCATCGAAATTGATAGTGCCAGAAATACACTCAACACACCACCTCAATCCAACGAGGTGGAAGAAGTGGTGGCACAAGCCACTTCAGATTTTTGATGGAAGCCCGGTACACTACGTGTCCTGGGTACATTCCGTGGAAACAATCCTTTCGGATTTTGCTGTAGTGAAAGGGAAACCCCTTTACCGCGCCATATTGCAGCACATTCGTCAAAAAGTGCGTGGTGCGGCAGATTCTGCCTTGGTCTCTTACAATATCTTTGACAACAATTGGCCAAAGATAAAGGAGTGTCTCTCATTGCATTACGCGGACAAGCGTGATATCCGCACCCTAGAACATCAGCTGCATCAACTGCAGCAGAGAGGTTCTAGAATTGATGAGTTTTATGCTAAAGTAAACCATCAATTCTCATTGATAATTAATAAATTAAAGACCGAGTCCTACACGGACGAAACTGTAAGGGTTCTTGTGGACACTTACAGAAATAGAGCGCTTGACGTCTTCATTCGTGGGCTAAATGGGGAGCTTTCCAGAATGCTCCTTGTCCAACGCCCCAAGACTCTCCCTGAGGCCTATTCGGCTTGCTTGGAACTTCAGAACGTCAACTATCGAAATTTTTCACTACATTCCAACCAGAGTAACAACCGCGTAGTTGTCCCTATTAATAATATAAATGAAGCTAGACATTCTTTCGAAGCTAAACCACCGGCGGTCCCTCCACGACCCACCTGGCGTCAACAGGATCGCAAGCCACAGTATGGCAATAACCAACGTTTTTCAGGAAATAATCGCTCTCCATCAACTAATCCAGTTAAAACACCCCCCGTCGAAAAAATGGAGGTCGACGGCTCTACCCAATCACGAACCGTGAATTATATGAATCGCCCTAATCCTTTTAAACGGGCGGCAAGTTCGGAGAACTTTCCAAGGAAACAGCAGAGGCTCTTCCATTCCACCACCGGCACTACCGATGACGATACTAAAACCGAAGATGAGGCAGGAAGTCAAGAAGAAGGGGATTTTCTTTCAGAGGGCCATCTAGCGTACCATACCTAGAGTACACGCTCCCTGACGGTCGCATCCTAGACTTCCTTATTGACACAGGTGCTAATAAGAATTTCATAAGTGAATCGGTTGCGACTGGAGGTGACCCTGTAGATGAGGTATTTAATGTGAATTCTGCCGGGGGGCAGGTACAGATTAACAAAAAAATAGGATTAAGATTTTTTAAAGATATAGGATTCCCTTCTAAAATAGTGTTCTTCGTCCTGCCAGGACTTAAATCCTTCGCCGGCATTATTGGCGATGATACGTTAAGGATGTTAGGAGCCATTGTTGACAGGAAAAACAATCACCTTAAAGTCAATGACTTTAACTTGCCCTTAAAGGCCAAAGTTTCTGACCAGGTTAATTATTCCATGGGTAAAGATGTCTCTGACGACACTAGACAACAGGTAGACCAATTATTGGAAAAAATATTCGGACCTTTTCCTTCCCCTTAACGGTAACGAACTTGTAGACACAAGTGTCCGAGCCGAAATACGGACAACCACTCCTGAACCTATCTATAGTAAGAGCTATCCTTACCCAGTATGCATGAGAGAAGAAGTAGATAGACAAATAAATGAGCTGCTTGATGAAGGGGTAATACGGCCATCCAAAGGTCCTTACAATTCCCCGATTTGGGTGGTGCCGAAAAAACCGAAACCAAATGGGGAGAAACAGTATCGCATGGTGGTCGACTATAAGCGGCTGAACGCTGTTACGATAGCTGACACCTATCCCATCCCTGATATAAACGCAACGTTATGTAGCCTTGGCAAAGCCGACTTTTATACAACGATTGATTTGACCTCCGGATTCCACCAAATTCCAATGAAGGATTCTGACATCCCGAAGACTGCCTTCTCCACG